AGCAGCAGCAGCAGCGCCAGTCGCCTGCAGCTGGAGGACACACGCATACTGGAGGAATGTTTTCGCATGATGGATGTCGGCGTGGCCGGCTACATCACGCCGGAGGACATGAAGGAGTTTTTCATGTGCGTCGATGGTGTGTCCGCATCACCGTGCAGCGACTTTCTGCGGTTGGGGAAGGACGAGCTGTGCAACTGTGACCGCTTCGTGGCCCTTACACTGGCGGCACTACGCAGCAGCAGCAGAGGCTCACGTACGCTGGGAGAGTGGGTCGACCACTACTGGCTGCTGCAATACCGAAAAATCTTTATGGGCACAGCCGCGTTGATGAATTGGGATGCGGAGCTGACGACAATACCCCCGGAGCCGACGCACGGCTTCGATTCCTTTGAGCTCGCCACGCTGCTGTTCGCGCTTACGGAGGCAGGTCTGCGCCTTGTGAACGCTGTGGAGGTTGAGCAGTGGGTGCGCTCAGGGCAGCACCGGCGCGGCTGCGCCATCACAATGGAGCAGCTGGCCACACTCCTCGATACATTGTCGAAGGCGGTGCCCTTCTCAGAGACGTGGCTCGCCCTGCTTCAGCACAGAAGCAGTAGCAAGCAGAAGGTACTTGAGATTATCAACACTTACAGTGCTGTGGCGGATGCCACGGTGGTGGAAGAACTCCGGGAGCACATCATGCAGCTGAAGAGAGACACAATGGCGGGAGGACGCTGTGCGAACTGCAGTCGTCTGGAAGAAGTGTTGCAGCAGCAGGCCGTGCGCCTTGCAGATATGGAGGCGGCGAGGGAAAGTTCGGAGGTCAATCTGGGGCACTTAGAACGCCGATTTGAGGAGCGGGCGGAGGCCTTTGCGCAGCTGCAGCAGGACTATTGGCACGTGCAGATGCTGCTAGAGGATGCTCAACTCCACGAGGTGGAACTTGCAGAGGCGCTAGAGAACGCGAAGGGGCAACTGCCGATGCATCCGCGCGGCGGTGGTACGTTAGCGCTTAACACTTTCGCCGCAGCTCCCCCTGGGGCTGTTGCTGGCGATGGCGTGCCATCGCTGTTGCAGCTGATGCCGTGCGGGCGTCTTGCCCAGCATATGCGCGACAGCATGCCGATCGCCGATTCGCCCATCTTAAGCACCATCGGGGCCGTTGCGTACGCGATACCGCCGGAGCTGTCGCAGCCGTCCGAGTGGTGTGTCGATGTGTTCTGGTGCGACGCGACACGCGACGGGCGAAACAAAATCGAAAGACTCGTCTGCCGTGACAGCGACGGACGTCGTAGTTGTGCATTTCTTTTGAAGAACAGTGAGCTACAGGTTGTTGTAGCGGATTATAATAACAGCAGCAGCAGCAGTTGTGGTGGTGGTGGTCATTCGTTTCGGCTCACGCCACGGCGTTGGTACCGCCTCCATTGTGCACTCGACTGGCGGGCCAAGATGTTCGATGTGACGGTGACAGAGGTAGGCCACGGCGGTTCGGCCGCTGCTGCACTGAAGAGTACGAAGATGACGGCAACCAGGGCGTCATGGGGGCCGATTGCAATGATTGACGCGCAGACCAGTGGCATCGCTGTTGTTGACATTTTCCCGCGGACAGAGCTGCTGATGAGTTACTGTAACTTTTTCCTCCGCTACACGAGCTAATGGTGAGGAGGCGGGTGAGTGAGTGAGTAAGTGCCGGAGAGAGAGAGAGAGAGAGTGTGTGTGTGTGTGTGCGTGGGAAGAGGACGGGGGTGGGTGAGCGGGTACCGAGTTGTATCAGTATTTCTTTAGTTTTTTTTTTTTGCACCTGCTGTGCACAGTTGCCTCTGTATGGGATTGTTGACGGCGTTGCTGCCATTGTTATTGCTATTATTATTAATATGGCGTGCATTCCTCTATCTCTATCTCGGTTGTCTCGTATCTCTCACTGATCACATTAAGGGTTGAGAGGGGAGTGTGCACCTGTTGGTATCATCAACAGCAACAGCAAGGTAGAGAAAAGGAAAGGAAGGAGGAGGGAAAACAAAAGGGCAAGCGGCGGCTTTGTGCTACGCTCTACTTCTCTTCGTTTGATACCCTCTCTGTTCTTTCTTCTCAATTGGCGTGCATACACGCACACATATTCATTCTCATACCTCCCTGCGTATATATACATATATATATACACACATATAAACCCATACTTTCACCCGACAGCGTCTGTGCCGCACAGCTCTCCTTTTAGCTGCGGCAACGTCACGATACAAAACGCCACGCAATTCTTCTCACTGACGTTGAACATCGATAACGTGCACGTACGTAGAGGCACAGAGAAAAAGTGTCCATTATATTCATATTGCCGGGCGCTGAATAGGGCGGAGGAAAAAATCGGACAAGATGGGCATGGAACACTACCAAATCATCAAGCAGCTGGGTGGCACGACGGGCACGTTCCTGGCTGTGGACAAGCAGGATGGGACGCGGAGGGTAGTAATCAAGCGCCTGGTTGACGGGACGCAAGGCATGGAGGAGCTCAACGTGTCGCTGCGGGTACGGCACCCTAACATTATCCCCTTTCTGGAGTCCTTCGTGCATGACGGTGGGTTGTACGTTGTGCTGGCGTATGCGGAGGGTGGTGACCTCGAGGCGCACCTTGAATGCCTGGCGCGGGAGAAGCGGCCGCTGCCGCACTCGCTGATGCTGCGCTGGTTCAAGCAGCTCATCGAGGCGCTACAGTGCTGCCATGAGCAGAAAATCATGCACCGCGACGTGAAGCCAGGCAATGTGTTCCTCAACGCTGGTGCGACGGAGCTGTACCTTGGCGACTTTGGTTCCGCCAAGGCGCTCCTCCGCACGGTCTCGCTGACGTCAACTTTTGTTGGCACGCCCATTTGGATCTCGCCGGAGCTCCTGACGGGCACACCATACAGCTTCCCATCCGATGTCTGGTCGCTCGGTTGTGTTTTCTATGAGATTGCGGCGCTACGGCGTCCCTTCTGTCCAAGTAGCTTTGCGAACCTCGTGCAGCAAATCACGTCTGGTGACTTCGCCCCGCTCCCGCCAAGTGTGCCGGAGGATGTGCGCGCCATTATCACGTCCATGCTGCAGGTGGACCCGAAAAAGCGGTGTGGCTTGACAAAGGTGTTGGAAATGACGGAGCAGGCGATCACCGCACGGAGCAGCCCCTCCGCTGCGAGGGTGGCGGGGGACAAAGGCCCTCCGCCGCACTTGCCCAAGCGAGCACTGGACGCGGCCCTCGTAAAGGTTCAGCAGCAATCGCCGCAGCAACCGCAACGCCCGCCTTCTGCAGCAGAGGCTTCCCCAGAAGAAGAGAAAGCGAAGGAAGCGGGGGCGGAAAAAGATGCCCAGCAGTTCTCCGAGTGGGCGCGCGCGCGTAATCACGATTTGGGCGTCATTGAGCGCTACCTCCGAAAGTTCCGCCAGTCGGATGAGCGGGTGTTGGCGGCCACTGCCTCGACGCTGGAGGAGTTGCAGCGTCGGCAGGAACGGCGCCAATCAGGGGCGTCACCGCAGCGCGTGGCGACGCCACCGCCGGTAACGCAGCAAATCGATTCGCGGCTAAAGCCAGGTATTGTATGCGAGGTGCGGATGGAGGCAGTGCCGATACTTCACCCACCCCAACAACAACAACCACTACTACAGCAGCAAGCGGCAAAACCGATTGTCAACCAACGGCGCTGCATCATCAGCACAAAAATCGCCCACGGCAAAAACGATCAAGACAGCGGCCCTCCAAACAGAAATGCGTCACCATTAGCTCGCCTGCCTTCGTCCGGGCAACACTTGAATGGGCAGAACCCACTAGCGTTTAGGCGGCTGAAGAGCACCCCGTCCGCTTTCCGCCAGGGTTCGCCCCTGGGACCGGGACCGGGACAAGAAGAAGAACGGCAGCTGCTTCGCGAAAAGAGGGAGCAAGAACGCGCCAAGATGATCGAAATGATTCGAGAGCAAAAAGCGAAGGCGATACAACAGCGCAAGGCAAATGGCAAAAAGGAACCCAAAGACGCGGTCGCAGTGGAGATTGTGCTGCCCGACAATTTACGTTATGTAGACGGCGCCCCCTGACGGAACAAATGTTAGCAGGGCAGCGAGGACGCCAAGCCCGCCCGCCCCC